ATTGTGTTTCTTAAAGAAAGAAACGCGTGCCTCTCCTTTTTGGGCGGTGGACCATGCCTAGGTGGTGATGCACTGGAGGAGTTTCGTCTTTGGGCTCTCCGAGGAGGACATCTTGAGCGTCTGTTCTCTCAGGCCCCTATCTTTGATTCTGTTGAAGGATGAGGGCGTTGGTCTAATTTATAGCAGCGAGCAGTGCTGCCATGGCCGGGTCGGCGTTAAGAGGGATATGAACTGGTTGCATGATTTCTGGAAGTTCCTCAGCAGGATTCTTGGAATGTCCCTTGTCCAAGAGTTGGTCGTCACCATGTCGGGCATCGGTGGAATCAGGGGGCAAAGTTTGTCTGTCACGGAAACCCAGGTTATCCTCGAGGTGAGGGTGTTCCTGACTTCCGTCAGTCTTGCGAGCGGGGGGAAAGAATGGTCTTTCCGGACATGTAAAGATCATCATGGTCGGCCATGATTAGAGAGATGAATCTTGAAAGAAAAGTTGCTTTGATCTTAGGTTCCGAGGGAAGAAAGATGGGGATAGAAGATTCCCACAGACGGCGCCACTGATCTTGACGGTTGATTAGAACCTGGAGAGTGGCCGGAGGATGATCTTCAGTCGAGTTGTATGCTGAGGAGAAATCAAGGTTGTACCTGCAAGGCACTCCAACGATCAAGTAAGAGCGGGAACAAGGAGGTACAAGCAGAAATATCAGGTAGTGAGTAATGAATATTGGATACCTGGCCCTCACAAGTGTGAGGGTTTATATGATGCCCCTGACGCGTGGCCATTGGTTCCTGATTTCCCGTCTAGATATGTGAGTCCGAAAAATCAGATAACTGCTAGGACTTAGTCAGACCGGGCGGATGTTCCTGTAACTAGCCGTTGGTTTCGAGGAGGGGACTAGTTACAGGCATCACTCTGGCTGGTTCTTGGTGGCCTGCACGACGTTGGTGTCGGGCAGCCAGAGAGAGTGCTCGTCGATCATCATTGGCCAGCGCCGATTCGGAAGGGCAAATGATTGTCGTTGCCCGACAGGGGACATAGCCATGTGGGCGATCCGGGTTATGGTCGGGTGGGATTGGCCCGTGAAAATCTCTGGGACTGGGTCAATCAAACTGTCGAACCAGTCCAAAATAATATATATATATATATAATTTATTCAACCAAATCACCATTAAGATTTATATTTACTATATAAAAATTTCAAAAATAAATATCTATCATACAAATACAAAAAAAATAGTAGTTATGAAATATATATTTTAAAATATTAATAAATTTATAATCACGAATAATATTTTTTGGTATTTATTTAATATTTTAATGACAAATATTTTATTACTAAAAATAATAATATTTGCAATCCTTCTGAAAAACTTCAGCATTATTGATTTAATCTTTCTGGGATTCTTTTCTGGGATTATTTAACATGATTGATGCACTTGTTATATGATGCATAAAAATCATCATTGATTTTATGATCAATGGAGATAAAATATATTATTAATAATAATATTAAATTTTAACTTCTTCTGGAACTATAAATAATTTCATCAATCAAAATTAAAATATAATCATTTGCATAATTCTTACTGTAATAATATTCAAGAACTCAATCACAAATCTTTTACGAACTTCTTCAGAAACTCAATCATAAATCTAGGTAATTCTTCGGGAACTCAATCATAAATCTTTTACAAACTTCTTCAGAAACTCAATCACAAATCTTTTTATGCAAATTTTCAAGAATTTAATAACAAATCTTTTTATTAAAAAAAAATCATAATATTTGTAATTCTTCGGTTATTCATAAACTATATAATAAATTTATTATTTTGCTATCTTTCAAGGATGCTTTATCTGTTCTCTAGGAAATATATAAGAAATTAATTATTTTGCTATCCTTCATGGATGTTTTATATGTTCTTCAGAAATTATATAAGAGATTCAACATTTTTCGATCTTGTATGAATGCTTCATATGTTCTTCAGGAACAATATAAACTTATTATTTTTTGTATCATTCATGAATACTTGATAAGTTCTTCGGAAACTATATAATAAACGATTATTTTGTTATCATTCAGGGATGTTTCACAAGTTCTTCATGAACTTATATAAATACTGTTTTGCTATCATTCAGGGATACTTGATGATAAGTTCTTTAGGAACTTATAAATATTTTGTTAAGTTCTTCAGGAACTTATATAAATATTATTTTCTAATGAATATATTATAAATAACAGATAGAAAATATATATTATAAAAAGAAAAAGAAATAATGTTACCTTGCAAGTCTTGGAATTTTATGCTGATAACATGTTATAATAGAAGAGTAAAGACAAAGTAAAAAAAGAAAAGAGATATTATCAATATAGATTTTTAAGTACAATATGAATCATATTTATACCAATGTTTTAAAACCCAGACCGGTGATCGACTCGGTAAAGTTACTGGGTCACTGGGTTACTAGTCGGACCAGTGGGTCACTGGTCAGACTGCATGACTTTTGACCCGATTTCTATAAAAAATATATTCATTACCTGAAATTTATAACTATAATAATATAGAAACCAATGATCGAGTCAAAATCTTCTATCACTTATTTTCTAATAACCTTCCAGCAGCAACATAATTTGCAGCATTATCTGTCATCATGTGAACTACATTTTCAGGCCCAACAAATAAAACCACCTCTCTAAAAAGCTTATACAACATATTTGCAGTTTTTGAAGCATGAGAAGCATCAACGGATTTTAGAAAAATAGTACCTTTGGGACAATAAACTAGAAAGTTTATAAGAGTTCTTCTTTTTCGATCAGTCCATCCATCGACAATTAGAGTACAACCAGTTTTCTTCTAAATCTCACGATACTCATCTATCAATTTGTTCACATCTTCAACCCATTTATTTAACAAATAGCCACGAAGACTATGCATAGTTGGAACTTTATACCCCAGACTCATGCTGCAAAGTGCATCAGCCATAGATTGAAAATACGTAGAATTAGCTGCATTGAATGGCACAGAAGAATCAATGAACCATCTTGTAATAGCTAGATCACACTTCTCCACTAATTCCTTACTTTGCAACACACTTTTTAAAGAAGGTTGAGCTCCAGGAGTTGTTCTAGGCATAAAATAATTACCAATACGACTAGTATTCTTTTTCTTTTGAGACACAATCATCGAATTTGATCTTGATTGTTCTACATCCATTTCTACTATACCACCCTCTTGAGTAGTAAGACAAACATCAAAATTTTGTGCTTGAGTCTTTCTTCTCTTATTTGCACCTTCATCAAGATTTTGTTTCATTTGATATTGAACATCTGGAGGCACCGTTTTACATGTTTCAACTTGACCTTTTATTCCAGCCAAATGGAATTTAAACCTATTAATCCCCCTCCTTAATAATTTTATCACAGTAAATACACAAATTAACAAGTTTTCCTTTCTCTTCAATTTGTTTACAATGATCCCAAGCTATATCGGTTTTCCCCCTACTGCTCTGGAGTTGGGTTGGATTTTGAGATGTAACTTCTTCCGAAGTTATTACTTCAGCGGGTGGTGCCATATCTAATATCAATCAAAATTTAAAAATACAAAACTATATTACAAAAATATTAACAAAACACAATCTAAACAAAAATTATTGAATTTATAAAAACATTATAAGAAACATTAAATATGTAACATATCTAAATCCAAAATATATGAATGTGTTGTTGTATATTACATATAAGCTACCAAACATCGTTACTGTGCATCACCATATATAATAAAAAAATAGAAACTTTGTTATATATTTTAGATTAATAAAATCATAAAACTTTTCTTTGTTATATAATTTAAATTAATAAAAAATAGAAAACTTTGTCTTACTATATAATTTAGATTACATAATTTTAAACTCAATTTCTATCTCCATAATATATACAACGACTATTACAGTAATATATATCTATCCCAATTTATATCTCCAATATACAACAACTTCATTACCAGTCTATAATAAGTTAATTCATAAAAGTATAAAACTGCTTCATTCATACAAATTCTATCTCAATTTGTTAAACTAAAAGACCCAATTTTATAGAAAATGATCAAATTTCATCATTTATTTTCTATATCAATTAATCAACAAAATGAAACAATAATATTCATATTGAAAAACATCAATGCAAATTAGACCAAGTAAAAAAGAAATAACCTATTTTTGATGTTTTGATGAAATTTTTGACGACAAACAAGGAATATCAAACAACAGTAGTAAGTGAGAGTTTTTATTGGTAGAGAAAATTGAGAATATGACAGCAATTAAAAAAAGAAAAGACAAAATAAAAAATAAAACCTTTCAAATGCCTAGGTTTGAGAAACGATGAGGCAAAACGTTTATGTTAATTTTTTTTTCAAAAGCCCTAAAAAATAAAATAAATAGTCAAACCCGCCGGTTCAGTAAAAATCGCCGGTTCACACTGGTTTCATCCGGTCTAAATATAATTCCGGTCTTATCCCTTAATCAGACCGTCTGATCCACCGATTTTTGGTCAGACCGGTCCGACCGACCGAATCGGACTGAATTTTAAAACACTGATTTATACTACTTATATAATAAATAAAAAATCAATATAAAATCTCTTAATTGATGGATATCCATAACCACTTCTATATATATTTGAGTACAAATTCATAATACAAAATTATTTTAACATATGCATTAATAGTATTATGCTTTATACAATTATAATCCTATGACATAAACCAACTGAAAGCCTCAAACATTCATTTTCCTTTCAAAAATACCCCTGAAGACAAACCCACAACTACACAAAAACCAGTTCCCTTAAAATTCTCCCCACCGTTAACTCCCCTTCCATTTATTCCTTCAAATTCAATCAAACAACAACACACCCCCTTCCTTCCCTCTCCCAACCTCACCATAACAACCAAACCAACAAAAACAAAACCCTTTTCCCATTTCCCTCCATTAAAATTCCCCCGAGAAAAAAATGAGAGAAATCTTACACATCCAGGGCGGACAATGCGGTAACCAGATCGGCGCCAAATTCTGGGAAGTAATATGCGACGAGCACGGCATCGATCACACCGGAAAATACAACGGAGACTCCGAGCTCCAGCTTGAGCGGATTAATGTCTATTACAACGAAGCCAGTGGCGGAAGGTACGTTCCACGCGCCGTCCTCATGGATCTTGAACCCGGCACCATGGATTCCGTTAGATCCGGTCCGTTTGGCCAGATCTTTCGTCCGGACAATTTCGTATTCGGTCAGTCCGGTGCCGGTAATAATTGGGCGAAAGGTCATTACACTGAAGGCGCCGAGCTTATCGATTCCGTCCTTGACGTTGTTCGCAAGGAAGCCGAGAATTGCGATTGCCTTCAAGGTAATTAATTAATTAACCTGATTATTTCATTGATTAACTCATTAAATGATTATGAATTTTTTAATGGTTGATTTATGATTTTGTTTGTGTTGCAGGATTTCAAGTGTGTCATTCTTTGGGAGGTGGCACGGGTTCTGGTATGGGAACTCTTTTGATTTCGAAGATTCGAGAGGAATATCCTGATCGGATGATGTTGACGTTTTCGGTGTTTCCTTCGCCCAAGGTGTCTGATACGGTTGTGGAACCGTATAATGCCACGCTTTCTGTTCATCAGCTTGTGGAGAATGCGGATGAATGTATGGTGTTGGATAATGAGGCGCTCTATGATATTTGCTTTCGGACTTTGAAGCTCGCCACACCTACGTGTAAATTTCTCAATTTTTTTGTTTTAATTTTGATGGGATTGATTAGTCAAGATTGGTTTTAAGGTCTATGATATATGAGATGGAATGTGAATTCATTGTTTTAGAGTTCAGATATGAGGATTAACTTAATTGTTATAGATTAGAATGTTATGATGGTTGATATAAAGCTGGGTAGGATTGGGAATAGATGCGGTAGAGGAAAAAGTTGGGGTATCTGTTATCTAAATATAGTATAACCTTGCTTTATATGGAGGTTAGACTTTTCTATTTAGAGACACATTAAGAAAAACTATAGGTAAAACTTGTTTTACAATAAAACATTATAGGATTGTTTGATTGATGTAGTTATCCCCATTTGTATTAGAATGATTTGGTTATTGATGTTGTAATGTGGCAAATTTTGTATTGATCTGTTAACATTTTCCATATAGGTAGAGGAAGATCAGAAAGAGTTAAAAATCAATTTATTGAGTAGAATTCAGAGTTAAATGATTTATCATTAGGCATGAAACATATAGCTGATTTTAATGAGGGAAGGTTTTTTGTTGATGCAGTGCAGTTTGTTGTTAATGTTGTTCTCATTTTTGTGTTGCTTCTGCTGCTGCATATGTTGTTGTTATTATCATGAATCATGATTATCCGTGGCCGTTCTGTTGTTGTTGTTTGCTACAAACAAACGATTAGCATCAAGTAGTATTTGTCTATTTGATATATTGCCATGCTTTTCCATTAAATTTACAATTTTAATTAGGATTATATCCAATTATATTGATTGGACCATATGATGATTCAATTGGGTTTAAGGTCCTTGTTCTTACTCATCGCTGGTGTTTATTGTTGTTGAACTTCTGCAATCAATTTGGGTTATCTAGTCACTTTCTCTAAATGAAGTGTATTTTACTTTATTTGCATTAGTTGGAAGTTCAGTTATGAATTTAATTTTCTTGATTTTTTTATATTTCAGTTGGTGACCTTAACCACCTAATTTCCGCCACCATGAGTGGAGTTACTTGTTGTCTACGTTTCCCTGGACAATTGAACTCTGATCTTCGTAAGCTTGCTGTCAATCTCATCCCATTCCCGCGGCTCCATTTCTTCATGGTTGGGTTTGCACCCTTGACATCAAGAGGATCCCAGCAGTATCGTGCTTTGACTGTACCCGAATTGACTCAGCAGATGTGGGATGCCAAGAACATGATGTGTGCTGCTGATCCACGCCATGGCCGTTACTTGACCGCATCAGCAATGTTCCGTGGTAAGATGAGCACAAAGGAAGTTGATGAGCAGATGATCAATGTGCAAAACAAGAACTCTTCTTACTTTGTTGAGTGGATACCTAACAATGTCAAGTCCAGCGTGTGTGATATCCCACCTAAGGGCCTTAAGATGGCATCTACATTCATCGGTAATTCAACTTCAATCCAGGAGATGTTCAGAAGAGTTAGTGAGCAGTTCACAGCTATGTTCAGGCGCAAGGCTTTCTTGCATTGGTACACTGGTGAGGGAATGGACGAAATGGAATTCACCGAGGCTGAGAGTAACATGAATGATCTTGTCGCTGAATATCAGCAATACCAGGATGCAACTGCTGATGAAGAAGAGTATGGGGAGGAGGAAGAAGAGGAGAATGGTGCTTAAGGCGGCATCTATATCATCTGTCAAAATTGTTTCAAATATAATTATATACTTGGCTTTGAGCGAGTGGTATATGTTTACATTGTGAAGCAGTCAAATTAGATTGACTCGTTAGTGTGTATGTTTGTATTAATTGACACTGTCAAAACTGGGTTTGTTGACAATGCTTTTTTCTTGAGAAGTTTGTAATGGGTAATGTTTATATGCATAAAAGTAAAATGATATCGTTTGCATTTTCAATGTGTTGATTATACATATTGCCTTGGAATGACAGTAATGGTTGAATCTTTCTCGCAAATTATAACTTGACTTTCATTTTGGAATTCTCTTGCTGATACTATGTATAAATTCAATTACAAATTCTTGTCAAGATTGATAGTTTTTCTAATTTTGTATAAGGATGTGCACTTCTGATGAATAGATATTTAAGAAGGCTCATAATTAGAAAACAGTAATCGTGATGGTATTAAAATCTGGGTTGTGTGAAAATTATGGGCTGTATAGGGATGTCAATGGGGCGGGGCGGGACCGGGGGGACACTTTCCCATCTTTTTCCCCGCCATCAAATTCATTCCCCGTCCCCGATCTCCGTCACGGGGGAATTTCTATCCCCATCCCCGTTCCCCGCGGATCCCCGTTCCCCGCGGGGATCCCCATAGATCCTACATTTATTCATTAATATTTTATTTTTTTAAAATGTTTATATTTTCTATAAAAATAAAAAGCACAAAGAATTCACATAAAGGAATATTTACTAATATTTACATAAAAAGCACAAAGAATTCACTAATATTTACATTTCTCTCTCTTAATAAATACATGAATATTTATTTATTTATTTTTATAAATAAACATAAAGGAAATGACTAAAAAACCTAATCTAAAATATATATATTAAATTAACTATATTAAAATAATAGGCGGGGCGGGGTCCCCGCGGGGCGGGGGGTGTATTCCCCGTCCCCGTCCCCGAAATGCTCTCGGGGGAATTTTTCTCCCCATCCCCGCCCCCACGGGGGAAAATTCCCCATCTTTGGGGCCCCGAACGGGGCGTTCCCCGCGGGGATCCCCATTAACAGGTCCAAACTGACATCCCTAGGGCTGTAGGTTGAAGTAAATAAAGTTTGAGATTGAAAAAATTACACAAATAATCATATTTTAGAATTGGTATAAATAGTTCAGCCATATGGTGTATTCATTCAAATTTTTAAGGGAGGTGTCGAATGAGACGACACCTAAGTGTATATGTTTTGCTCTAAGTCATCTCAGATGGCGCATATATTTATTTATTAAAAAAATAAAAGACAATTTCGTCGCAAATGAGACATCGGTTTTCAATAATAGTGAAACAATTATATAATGGGAATAAAAGTTACATATTATTTAGTTATCTTCCGGGACTCGATAACGACTCGTGGTTCCGCATCCGCGTCCTTGCCTAACTCGTTGCGCGACTCGACGGTTTTCCTGTTGCAGTGGTCCCTGCGAAGAAATGCGTTCAACGCCCATGAAATCCATCAGATCACCATATCTGGAAGACCCGCCTTCAAACAGCCGGTTACCCATGCCCTCAAAGTTTGGTGGGCTTGGTAGGCGGTTGGATTCCATGGGTGGTCAAAAAGCACTTGTCATCTAAATAAGGGGGGTAAAAAGGAAATTCATCGTGTGGAGTTTGGTACCCATATGTTTGTTGGGTGCTATGGTGATGTGATGGTATGTTAGGTCGGTTAGGGAATATTCTTCAGGTAGGCCCATGTTTGGTCTAAGGAGAGATGATGAGGGATCCACATTGGGATGTCAGATCTATGGTCTTTGTTCTTGGTACTGTAATTGTGTGGGGGGCATGTGTTTGTATAGATATTGGTATTGAGTTTGGAGTTGGGTGCTTATGGATCTATATCGTCATTGCGTTTGGTGGGAGGTTGATGTGTGTTGGGTTTGTCGTTGGGTGGTGTATGATTGTTGGTATTGTTCTTAGGGATTTGAGGATGATGTCCATCGTGTGTGTGTGTCAATCAAATATCTCGGGACAGACACAAACATTTCAGGGTTAGTAATCGACCAATACCAATTTAAATATTTATCTGTGTGTCGCATATCATGGTTCACGAGGTAAACAATGAATCATAACACATGTCGCTCACGCCTCTTCCACATCCAACACCATTCTGGAGCGAATTCTTTCCAATTGTTAACACCCCAGTGAGCGTCGACCCTAAGGAGATGCCAAGGTGACAAACAAGTCGGAGGGCCTGATATTTCTTGATGCATGCCGAACTGCATCTTGACACGGTCGCTGTGGTGCTTCTCCATAACGTTGAACCATATGATTGAAGTTTTTGTAGTCCAAACTGCTGCATCCTCAGGGTTAGATTGATGGTCCATACCCAAATATAGTCTCCAAAGAAACTGCATATAAAATTATATTATAATAATGATAACTTTAAAAATAAATAAGTTAAAATAAGAAAAGTTTAGAGGTAATACATACATCTTCTGGGCCAATGTGATCCAAAAGATTACGATATATAGCGATATTTCGTCTCGAATTCTTGTTGTAATCCATGCCCCTTACACAAAACCTAAAGCAAAGAGAGAAATAATAAATTATATACAACTATTTATCATAAAGCGAGAAAAAGTAAATAGCGTTATAGACTTACTTTGTTGCGTAGGGGAATATGAAGGCGTTATTGTTGATGGGATTAAGGGGCTCTATTCTCCACCAACCCCATGCTTGGATCAAGAAAGCGCATCCATAAAAAGTACAAGTATTTTTTTTGTTGCATTTTTACATAATGAACTATATAGATAGGCTAAAACTGCGGAACCCCAACTATACCCTCTAATTTTTTCAAAGTTCCTAAACAATCTTAAATACATAAATTTGACACTATAACCTGTACTCTTGGGGAATAACAGACTTCCAAATAGTATCTTAATATAATTTCTAACTTTAACTAATTTATCTTCCTCGGACGAATTTTCATTCAACTGAAGAGAGCTATAATGCAATTTAAGGTCCGTTAGTAAAATACCTTAACCCCTCGCACCTGTTCCATCTACCATATCTTTGTCTAACATTTGCTCGCATAAATCATCGAGTTGTTGAACCGACCCACTCACCTCCTTACCCTAAATAGGGAGGCCCATCAACATGTACACGTCCTCTAGTGTGACGGTATATTCACCAATTGGAAGATGAAAAGTGTGTGTTTCAGGTCTCCACCTTTCCAACAATGCGAGTATAAACCTCGTATCAATCGTGCAATTTAAAATATTAATAAAACGTCTAAAATCGACACGTTCTAGATATGGGATGATCAATGGGTCGGGAGCGGTATAGGAGTATGAGCGACATCGAAATCTTGACATGTCCTAAACTCAAAATGCATATATAAATAAAGTGTGTATGACTAAATATAAATGCACATATAAATGAATATATTAAAAAATATAAAATGCAAATTTAAATGAATATATTAAAACTTACAAATGAGGCAATGTTTTCTTTTGTTTCTCAATGTGTATCGCCCATGGTGAGGAGATATATAATTGAAATTGTTTTGGAAATTATATCAGAGAGTGTAAGAGTATGTATCAAAGAGTGTGAGGATTGGTGATGCAAAACAAACCAAATGAAGTCGGTATTTATAGGCGAATGGGTAGAGGGTTGGGTTAATGAGGTGGTTGAGGGTTGATTTGCATGCCAGACACGTGTCACCCATAAGTCAAATGAAATGGTGCCTACATGTAAAAGAGAAGGGATACGTCATTCAAAGTGGCGTGTGATAGGCTAGGTTGTAGCTAGGGTTCAGACTAGGTTGCAGTTAATGTGTAGAATAAGGTGCATAGTAGGTGGCAGGGCATAGGCGTAGAAGGCTAGGTGATAAGCCTTGTAGGGAAGCGTCGTCTCACTTAGTGCCTCAGACCAAATTTGAGAGGATGTGCCATTCCACTTGGCTTAAATGTTTCTAGGAAATTTTGTCTAGTACTTTTCATCTGCACCTATTTAATCCAGACCGATTCTGCTTGAATATCATCCCTCACATAATCAAACACTTAAACACTAAAAAAAAATGACCTATGCACCACAATACGTTATCAATGCACGCGTCAATGGTGAGACATACCATTATGATGTATCCAAATTTTTATTTAGAAACACCGGTAACATCCGCTTTTGTTTAAATAGAAAAGATAACTTCTCATATTTCAAAAAGCGACTAGAGGTCAAACTTGAACAAGGTCTAGTGTCACAAATCTTCTACCAACATCTGATTTTTTTGGCACGAACCAAATAAAATTTTATCAAGTAGAGGTTCAAGATGACGATGACCTTCAAGATATGTTTTGTAATCATGAGTATTTTGGGTACATATCAATTGAGTTGTACATGTTGCTCCAATAACCTCAGTTGTAACAACCAATTGAGTCACAATTTGTTGATCCCATTGAAGATGAACAACTTGAAGCATCTAGAGTTGGTGATGTTCAAATGGTAACTGAAAGAAAAGAAATAAAAGAAAAAGTCAAATTTCTGGAACAACTTGCTGCTAAGCAAAGAGAAGCTGCAGAAAAAGCTCGCCTTGCCGAAGCTGAAGCAACAAGACTAAAAGCAGAAGAAGAAGCTAAAGCTGCAGAGGAAGCCAGATTGGCTGCAGAAGCTGCAAAGGCCGCTGAAGAAAAAGGTAAGCAGCAAGCTCTGATGGTATCCAATTTTGAGTCTGACTGCGATCTAAAAACAACCATTGATGAAATAAAGGAGGAATCGAAAATGTTCAGAGAACATTTCAAAGCTCAGAACAAGGTCAGTGAATCTGTTCAAACTATGCTCAATATGATTTTGGCAAAAATTTCGGAACCTTCATCATCTGCTCGTGCAACTTCTGGAGCCTAGGCTATAGGATTCTCATTTAGTTTCTTTGTTTGCATCTGCTGTTTTTGGATAAATTATCCTGATGATTAATTGACATATTATCTTAATATTTTTAATCCTTTCT